AACGCGCGGTCAATCGTCCACGAGCAGTTGCACCAGTTGAACGTCCCGTACACGGCAAACATGCACAGCAGGAACATGAGCTCGACGCCGCCCCAACGATGATGTCGAAGAACTGCGCGATCTGGATGCACACAGTCCAATGGACGAGGACTTGCGCGCGTCTTTCGCAGTCGCTTATCACTCATGAATGGACGTGTTGACCTCATCTCTGGCACACTGCCGTTGAGTTGCTCTTCCAATGACCCGACAGGGTCGTGTCCATCGCGGTCCTGCGATCGACGATGGGGGTTTTCGACCCCGTCCCTGCTCGTGAGAACAGTTAAAGATGACTTTCCATGCCATGCGACTTGTCTTGCAGAAGGCGCCGGTGCTGTACGCATCCTCAGGGTCGATCGATCGCACGAAAAAGTCCTCTTCGTGCAACACACCACTCACCTAGTGCTTGGACAAGTTCCCTTTTGATTCGAGCAACGTGTCCCTCGTTACTCAGCAATTCATTCCAATCGAGGAGGCGCACGCTGTCGGGAGCTTCCTCAATTGCACTGTCTTTTCGCCACGTTCCTCACGATGCGCACACTTGCATGCAGCGTCCGTCGTCCTCGGCCCTTCGCCTGCCAATCCGCCTCCACGCCTGCTGCAACCGCTCGGTACCCACCGCCACTTGGACGCAACTTTTCTCGCATGTCTGCTGCTCGTCTCGCTGGCGAGTCTACATCGCAACGAAGACTTGGTGCTCTTCTTCACAGCAAGACCATTCGTTTGCGGCTTTGATTACTAGCGATGGATTGTTTACGTAACAAGCAATTACAAACTCACGGAGCGACACCACTTTAGATCGCACCGTAGTGCGTCGGGGTCGGCTCGTCCGTCTTCTTCTTCTTCGTGGCCTTGACCTTTGGCTTGGACTCGTCCTTGGCGGGCGCGGGCGCCGCCACCGTTGGTTTGGACTCGGCGACGACGTCGTTCCCGAGCAACTTGGACACTTCAAGGCCGGACGTGAACGCGCTGTTGAACATGACGCGCTGCTGGAACGCCGACACGAAAGGCATGAACATGGAGATGAACAAGATCGGGCCAAACACGATCCACCCAACGATGATGTCGAAGAACTGCGCGATCTGGATGCACACGACGTGCTCTTGCTTGCGACGAGCGATTGCGACTTGGAGGAACCAGTACATGCCGAGGCACACAATGACAAAGATCTCGGCCAGGTTGCCCACCGAGATGTACAACAACGATGCGAGCACGAGGACGAGGATGATGCCCGAGATGTTGAACTTGAGCTTGCGCAACTTGCGTTGCTTGGACGACATCTTCTTGGCCACGCGACTGGCAATCCAAGCGCAGCACCCAAGGATGAGCAAGACGATCAGGATCGCTACCGCCAAAATGTACGGCTTCATCGGGTCGTCTTCCGCCACCGTTTTGTGCAAGTCCTTGTAGAACAACCGGTACATGAGCTGGAGATAGATGCCGATACCGACGAGTAAAAAGCGGGTCTTGCGCAGCGCCGTGACAAAGCAAGCGAACCGAGTTGAGTGCTCCATGAAGTCCAATTCGGCAGTCCACCACCCATACCAACTCTCAGTCGAGTCGTTCTTGGTGCGAAGCCAATTTTGCCAGTCGCTAAAGTCGTCCATGAGTTTCTCCCAGTCGAACGCGCTTGGGTTGAAGAAGAACGGCGCCCATACCCACGTCGCGGCAATCAGCCACAGCGAGTAGCTCATGATGCCGTAGTTTTGGTTCGTTGGGAGCACGCACTGCTGGTAAAAATTGGCGTAGCAACGCTGGCGCCACTCATACGGCAATGGCTCGACGTCGTTGTAGAACGCGCGGTCAATCGTCCACGAGCAGTTGCACCAGTTGAACGTCCCGTACACGGCAAACATGCACAGCAGGAACATGAGCTCGACGCCGCGGTAGAAGTGGCTGAAGGCATAGAACCGGTACAACTCGGCGAACTTTTCATGCTTGATGGTGAACCCACGGCCCGTGGCGCGGTACTTGGCCCCGCCATGGATCAACGTACGGTCAAAGTA